AGCCCATCTTTTGTGACGCACAAAACTGTCCATATGTTGATTTTCCTGTATTTGATAAGAACACATGGTGGAACTCTCTTCCTCCACTCCTGTTACATTCTTAAAGTTTTGCTACATCTCCTTTTCATCCAAAAACAAAGAAGTCTTGTAAATGTAGCATCGAGGGTCCGCTACCACTAGACACTTATTCACTACCTCATGCCAACTGCAACGCCACCCTATTGTTTATTTAAGGTATAGGGAAACCCAATTTCTCCCGCAAATAAAAAGGACACAGGTTCGGAGGACATTGAGGACAGAGACAATAAGTTACAGAAAACATAATTTATTATAAGTTAAATTGGTTAGGTCTAATCAAAAATAAGTTTCTGCATCAGACATGGAGTTAGGCCAGGCACGGTCTTGACCCGTACACATTGTTGGTCCACACAACCGTCACTCAGGCATGGGACATGAAGGGGAGAAGAAGAGGCTCGTGCTGATCCTGAAAGCATTACTTGAGTTCACTTTGGAGAGACCCATGAGGAAGATGCCGTTAGACTTATTAGATTTAAGCATGTTTATGATTGAGCATGTTTGGCGCCCTAGGCCCGGGAGGGATGCTGTTGAGCACGGCGCTTGCTCGCGTGCATAATCCCCCCGGGGCCTAGGTACTGGTGACGGCAGAGGCAGTAGGCAAGCACGCTTCGATGAGAGAAGGAGGAGGTGGGGCGGCGGAGGCTTGCAGACTTCAGAAGGCCGGGAAGTGGGCATCTCCGGCTTTTAACTTGCTGTCCTGGTGGTTATTGGTTGACTGGGTGTGGGCGTTGCTGGTATTGATGAGTCGAGGAAGAGCAGCCTGTGGCCTGGGCAGCAGCAGCCGGGTCTACCACAGTGAACTTTCGCGAAGCTCCATTTCACTTTGGAGAGACCCATGAGGAAGATGCCGTTAGACTTATTAGATTTAAGCATGTTTATGATTGAGCATGTTTGGCGCCCTAGGCCCGGGAGGGATGCTGTTGAGCACGGCGCTTGCTCGCGTGCATAATCCCCAAAAAGCGGGCCTGCAATTGGGATAGCAGGACGTACTGCGCGGGCCTGAGAGCATGAGTGAGGCTTCTCGCACGGTCGCTTCGGCCGGCTGCGTCCGCTGGGGCCCGTGTTTGTTTAGGCAGAGCGAGCTGAGGATATGAGCGTGCTCATATTCAGCTAGACGCTGAAGCAGAGGAATCTTTGAGCAAACTGGGAACATGCGCGCACGCGCATGTTCAGCCAGTCGCAGCGTAGGGGAGTCTTTGAGCGAGCTGGGAATATGAGATGCACGCTCATATTTGCCAGACGCTGAAGCGCTGCAGCAGAGGAATCTTTGAGCGAGCTGAGACATGCGCGTTTGAGGAAAGTGCGTGCCGCCACCAGAATATATTGCTTACTTGCTTTGCTGGGAGCTTACGAGGAAGCCGGTAAACGTTGAGCGGCCATGATAGCGGTCGCATCTGGCCTGATGTAGGTGGAGAAAGCCGAAGAGGACCAGCGCCCCAGCTGTTGTAGAGAAGAGTGGGGGAGCCCCAGCGAGGCCGCGACCACTGGGAATGTCTCGTGTAGGGCAGAGGAAATGCTCCGGGGAAAAGTAGCGGGCCACGGCCCCGCCAACCACTGGTCCTGGAAGAACCCCCCAAAACCCACGGAAGGGGCAGCGGCCGTGTAGAAGCGAAGACCTGTAGGGGCAGAGAGACATACCGAGGAGGGCCAATGATGTTGCAGGCGCCCTTACGCTTAGAATCTGGGGTTGGAGATTAGATAATCAGGACAGTAGGATAGGTCGGGAAAGCCGTGTCTCGGACCGCGTTGAAGGTTGAGTGAGCAGTAGTGAAACGCTTATGCAGAGAAGCCATAGAAGGCGAGCAGGAAGATGCTGCGAGGAGGGCAGACATGTACTTGGACGATGAGCCGGAGTTCAGTGCCGCTCAGAGCTGCTGCAGGATGGGGAGCCTGCAATCAGAAGAGTGAAAAATACGGGTACGGATGCCTTTGAGTAGGAGTTTGATTGACAGCTCAGCAGTAAAGAGAGATGTAAAGTGAAGAGACGTCAAAGTAAATGAAGCAGTAGCAGCAGCAGTGTTGCAGCAGTGGTTGCAGCAGTAGCAGTAGCAACAGCAGCAGTTGCAGCATCCTTAGATAATAACAGCAATAATCCTGTATCAAGGCCACAGCAGTAGAAATTGATGTAGCTGTTTAGTGTTTCAGAAAGAGAGATGTAAAGGGAAGAGAGATGTCAAAGTAAATGAAGCAGCAGCAGCAGCAGTATGAAGCTTCCAACGTGGTTTTACTGCAAGTGGCAGAACATGAATCTGAATTGATGCACGTGCTCCTCTTATATCCCTCAGACGATGGAGATTGATACCATTTAACATGCGTTGCCCCTCAGTTAGCTCAAACACAAGTGAAAACGAAGCCTGCAGTCCAGTGTACGGGGCAAAAACCAAGCCCGCAGTCCAGACTCCGGGATTAATCCGTCCGCGGTCGGCACACTCACTGTACTCACATGCCAGGAGACTTGGGAAAAGCAACGGGACAACGCGGCCCGCCAGACCGTCTGCGCGCGGCAGCAGACCACGAGGAACGAGCAGCACAGAACCCGCGGAGGGCCCCGCGGAGCAACCCGCAGAAAGAGCCCGCAGAAGAGGAGAGCAGTGGAGACACGCGAACCACAGCAGGCAGGGACGCAAAGGAGGAGCAGACCACAAGCAGCCAGACTGAGAACAGCCGGGCCACGCGCACGAGCAACACGTGAGCAGAAGCGACCCCTCCAGAACAACGCATGCATTTGCGAACAGGTGCGTTAGCAACATGCACCTTGCAGGCTTCAGAAGGCCGGAAAGTGGGCATCTCCGGCTTTTAACTTGCTGTCCTGGTGGTTATTGGTTGACTGGATGTGGGCGTTGCTGGTATTGATGAGTCGAGGAAGAGCAGCCTGTGGCCTGGGCAGCAGCAGCCGGGTCTACCACAGTGAACTTTCGCGAAGCTCCATGTTACTCTCCAAAACCCGCTCACCCCCCACCACTACACTGTCACAACTTACATTCATCTTGTTACTCTATGCATCTCATCACGAGTGGAAAGACCCCCAGGGCCGGCCTCCCGGACGCTCACCAAACTGTAAATAATAATGGCTGTTTGTACACAATACAAGGTGGCTTACCGTATATGAAAGCATGTTTGCACAGGTACAGATTGATGTGCCAAACTACACGCGAGTGCATGATCCAAAAGTTTGGAGAGAGCCAGTACCTGCAGCACAGCGCGCTGCCATGCTTGCTGACGTCGGAGGTGAGCGAGGGTGGGTCCAACAACGTCTGCCCTTTTTATACGCTGCTCACCTCTGCTAAATAAATAAATAAAAACAGGTGGACAGTAGACCACACTGCTACATAAAGTAATGTGACAATAACTTTACCGTACCCTCTATACTCAAATTTTTGTGAATTCTGTGAATCAAAGCTACTGTATATACCAAATACATTAAAGAAAGTAAATTAAATCTCAACACCTGTGCACCTTCTAATAACCGGCAGTCTTTGTGACATCTGCTTGGTATTATCTGACATTGTCTGACATGTTCCTTTGAACAAGATGACAAAGCATTGGAGTGGGGCACACTTCAAGGGACAAATGAAATGTTGCTACAAAGATTCACATGTATTTGGTTTCAACACGTGGGATAACCCTCCTCCTCCACTCCGTCTCTCCACTGTCTGAAGCCATCTGTTCCACTTCACTGGCCAAAGAAAATACATAACTCTAAGCGATACCTGTACTGTGTATTTCTTTTTTCTCCTTTTCATCTAAAATAAAGGAAGTTGTGTAAAGTAAAGTGACAATAACTATGTAACCAGCTGTACTCACCAGTCGTGTCCTTTCTCTTTTTACTCACAAAGAGCAAACCTGTGAATCAAAGCTCTATCACAAATACTAGAGGCAAAACAACACTTTTTTTTAATCAATATTTTGTTTTTAGGTTTTTTTTGAAGGGATCTAAACATGATCCAACAAATAGATAGACAGATAGCTGCAGCCGCTGGGTGGAGGAGGACGGGTCACAGCAGCACAAGTGGAGTAGCCGCTAAATATAACAGTAACAAACTTAACATGAATTTAAAAGGGGATCAAACAAGGATCCTGCAAAAAAGTAACAAAGGTTTTTTTTTTTTTTTTTTTTTAAGGATCCAACTTTTTAAAACACAACAATAATAACACCAACAAACTATTTATAAAAAGGGATCAGACAAGGATCGGCAAAACTTAATAATAACAAACATATATTGTTTTTTTTTTAAACGTTTTTCTAAAGGGATTGAACTGGGATCCAATTATGTAAATATTTACAGTGACACGTCAACTGGAGGAGGAGCAGAGCAAGGAGGAAGACGAGGAGGAACAGAGGGAGGAGGAAGAGGAGGGGCAGCAGAGCGAGGAGGAGGAGGAGGAGGAGGAACAGAGGGAGGAGGAAGAGGAGGGGCAGCAGAGCGAGGAGGAGGAGCAGCGCGCGGAGGAAGAGGAGGAGGAATAGCGCCTGGAGGAAGAGGAGGAGCAGAGCGAGGAGGAAGAGGAGGAGGAGCAGAGGGAAGAGGAAGAGGAGCATAGCGAGGAGGAGGTGAAGGAGGAGCAGAGTGAGGAGGAAGAGGAGGAGGTGGAGGAGGAGGAGCAGAGCGAGGAGGAAGAGGAGGAGGAGCAGAGTGATGAGAAGCAGAGCGAGGAGGAGGTAGAGAGAGGAGGAGCAGAGTAGGGAGCAAGGAGCGACGAGTAAGAGGAGGAGGAGAGCGAGGAGGAGGAGGGACGGAGTCAGGAGGAGCAGAGCGAAGAGTAGGAGGAGGACGACGAGAGAGGAGCCTGCCAGGGTGAAGAGTGTGGAGCCAAGAAACAGCAGGAGCAGAGAAAGAGAAGAAGGAGCCAGGCATAGTGAGAGTGTGGGAGGACTTAGCTTAGTCCTGTGCACAAGGTCTGGGGTCTGGAGGTCTAGGAGTCTAGGAGTCTGGGGGTCTGAGGGTCTGGAGGTTTGAGGGTCTGGAGGTTTGAGGGTCTGAGGGTCTGGAGGTCTGGGATCTGGTGGAGAAGGGGCAAAAGGATCTGTGGAGGAGGAACAGAACATGTCAGTCATGAATCTACAAACATCAAATTCTGAGAACGTATAAACACAAACAAAGAGTTAAAGCTGGGGTATGTAACTTTCAAAGCACACTAAATGGAACTCTGTCCACATGAAGAGCTCTACAGTGGTTCACATTTTTGTTTTCATAAATAATACCTGATGTTTGTCCCAGACCTCAACATGCTGTTGTACCTTTGATAAGACTCACACTTGTAAGAAAGATCCCTGTGAGTCACTGTTTGACCCTTTGGGCTGAGAGCTGATGGGCTGAGTGAGGGTGGACCTCTCTTTTTCACTTTTTCTGTCTGAAAAAGCAGATCGAACGATGTGACAGAGGCCAAAAATACATGTTGTGAAAACTGTGATAGAAGCAGAATGTTTTCAAGCAAGGGACACTTGCTTTAGTGGATTGGAAGTTAGGTACCCGAGCTTTAAGGCAACACATGCATGCACTTTGTTGTCTTGATTTATGTTGTTTTTATCTGCCTTTCTTACCACAGTTCAAGTTTTGTGGTAATTGGAAAATGGTTCCAGAGCGTGTTTTCTGATCAGATAAATACAGCATGGTGTGGTCTGATTTGTTCACAAAATGTTACTTTTCCGGAAAAAAGTGAGGAATCCCAGATTTATTATGATTTCATTTTCATGATTTAGTCTTCATACCTTTCATACTATCTTATCCTTTCAAATAAATGTATATGTTAAATCAATCCAAATGTACAAATGATTTTTGTTGCAGTGAGGGACCCATAGTATTGATCTTAAAGTTATAGCCAGTTATGACTTGTGTGATTTAACAAGATGATAAAAAGACAATTAAAGCAGTGCGTTAAAGATTTATAGTACATTTATTTAAGTCATCTTTGTTATTAAAGATGGGGGACTTAACTTTTAACCCCATGAACTATATGTTTGTCTCAACAGATTTAGAACAAATAAGACAATAATAAGCTGTTAGTAAGCAGTATGAAACCTTTTATATTTTGCTACTGTAAGAAAGAGCCCTGTGAGCCACTATTTGACTCTCTGGGCTGAGAGCTGATTGGGTGAGGGGGGTGGTCCTCTCTTTTTCAGGTTTCTGTCCGAAAAAAGCTGATCTAGATGAGGCCAAAAATACATGATGTGGTTTCAAAGTTAGGTTCCTAAACTTTAAATGAGTGTCAGTTGTAATAATGGGTTTTGCACATATGCACTGATTCAAAAGATGCACTGTTTTAAAAGATGCACTGCCCTTAGCAACAGATGACCTTAGCAACGCGCCCCTGACAAGAAGAGGCACGCGCGCTGTGTCTTTGATGACTTTGAGATCTAATGTGCAGCATGTTACTCTCAGCAAAACAACGATGTCATAAACAGTCTGTGCGCCCGAGCCTTTTTCATCCTCTGCGTCTTTTATGCACGGGCCGCGGCTGATTGTGGCTCAAACACTGTCACACGCACGCAATCCTGACAGCTGTTCTACAAGTTCTGACTGTGCATCTTCAATAGAAACAACAGAAAGCGTCAGGAGCGCGTGCGTGGTCAAAGTGGACAGTAATCTTGGTGTGAGCGTTTCTAAGTGACATTTACAATATGAGAAATACAAGACAAGTGTTCATCTCAGGAAACATGTTTTCTTTTGCATACTTAAGAAAGAGCCACTGTTTTATTTGGGCTGAAAGCTGATTGGCTGAGGGTGATTCTCTTTTTTTTTCAGATCTAAAAAGCTGATCTAAAGACGCCCCAGAGGACAGAAATACATCCATATGAAAACTAGTGATTTTAAGCAAGCTATTTTAGAGTTTCATATTTTGTGGTTTAAAGGTTCCATATTATGCTTTTCTTCATGTTTCACAGCCCAACCTATGCATCCTATGCGTGATAATAATTTGAGTGATACACCATACAACACTCAAAACTTGTGAGATTAGAGCCATCATTACACAGAGCCTCCGCCCGCCCGCACGGTGACGTAGCATCACGCTGCGAGTTGTTAATCTCCGGTACACAGTCCTTTTAGAACTAAGAATAAACTTTTGTCAACAAATCGTGAGTGATTTTATCCATGCCAGATGTGACATGTACATTTCTCTTGTGTGAGATCAATAAAGTCTATCTTATCTTATCTTACCTTATCTTAAAAAACTAAAACCATAGTAACAATTTGTGGTTGCACATTTATACAGAATGACTAGACGACATTCTCACTGTTCACTGTTTTGTTGAGAACAAAAACAGTTCCTTTGATGCGTCACAGAAAACTAACCGATAAAAAGAATAAAAACAGTGAAAATGACGGCAGTGTTTTATACAATGGACTGTAGTGTGTTGATTCCAATCTGAAAGTGTGTTCACATGATGCAAGTGTGTGTCATTTTGCACTCAGAGTTTCATTGATTGTTTGGCTTTGAGAGCAGAGTTTGAGTTTTGATAAAGGAGTTTCATTTTTTCAAGCAATAGGACAAAACTGTAATAAAAAGGCGTTAAAGAGGTAACTTAGGAACACAACTGTATAAATACAAACAGTTGTACTTATTTATTTTTGTCCACGTACGTATGAGACCTGACCACAATGCATTTCCGACATGCATATCTTTTCTCACGGCTCGTCCATCTTGTCCGCCTGCAGGTGACCCCAGGGTGACAGCCGCACATCAGCCTGAGCAGAGCCGCAGAGACGGAGAAAACCTATGCAACAAGAGCATGAAAGCAGGTCTGGACTGGAAATGAAAGCCTCCATCACTCAGCATCCAGCACCGGGCGGCCCACCTGCTCCCGATGCCGCCACACATGCAGATCGCTAATGAGATACGGATTATAGCACAAAGGACGCTGGGATACTGTCTGATATTAAGAGTTCATGGCTGGTTGGACGACTTCGGGAGAGTTCCAGTAGTGACGATTGACATGTCATAGATGCAGCAGGACAATTATGACATTATTTCAACAGGGCTCCAGCTGCCAGAATACTGACCGCACAGTGCTGACAGAGCGCTCATCCAACGCCAGGAGCAGCGAGAGCATTTACAAAGCATGCAAAATACAAAGTACGTTCACAAATGTTTTCTACACACTCCGTCTTTCGTAACGTTTTCTTAACATTTATCGAGACTTGGGATTGCTGACGGAGGAGTTGGTTTGACTCCAGCTGTTCTTAGTTGTTCGGCAACTACCTTCTCCAAGATTTTAGCCACTGCAGGGAGCCTGCAAATAGGCCTGTGGTTGTTCGACATGTCCGTTTGGCCTGTGTTGTGGATTGGTGTAGGACACTGAAGACAGGTCCAGCAGGTGATCATGATATGTGTACATTGAGTGAGTAGGCAATGCTCTGTGTTACACAAAAAGTTGCTAGCTTAAACTCTCTAGCATCAAAGCCGCCCACCTCTTCTGCCCTGCATTTTCCGCCATCACAGGGCAGTATGTCAGATTTACTACACTCATACGGCTGGATTTTAGTGTGTCCAAAACACGTTGTTATCGTATGGAGCCAAAATAGGTCATAAAATAATGATGTGAAAATCCAACGTAAGGTACTTCACATAAAGTAAAAAAAAATACAAAAGTAGTGGATTTAAACATTAGACAGAGGTAGCTTGGATGTAAACATCAGAGTGCAAGAAAGGTATATGTACCAGAATAATGGCATATACTGTGTACCTTAAAGAAAATAAATAATAAAAATAGCTTTTTTAGTTTAATTAGTGGCAAACAAATACAATCGCGAAAACGCACTTTAGCAAATACTGGCAAATGAAACAAAGTAGTGTTATTGCCGTATCTGAGACATGGTTAGATGATGCAAAGGGTTATGATGTTGAAATGGATGGTTATCAACTGTTTTCTTCAAATCGAAATAGGAAAAAGGGTGGCGGAGTTACACTGTATGTGGATTCTAACCTCAGGAGTAAATTAGATGATTGTAAGACTGTTACTATTGATGGGATACTGGAATTATGTTATGGATTTCAACATTGATCTTCTTAATCCTCAAAAAAACTCAAAAACAGATGATTTTATTTCAACAATGTATAGTAACAGTCTATACCCACTTATTCTTAAGCCCAGTAGAATCACTACTAGTACTGCCACTTTGATTGACAACATATTTACAAATGAATTAGATAAAAAAAAAGACAGCAGGTCTGCTTATTAATGACATAAGTGATCACCTTCCCGTGTTCAGTACTTTTTCATGAAATCCTTCAAAATGCATACAGCTCTGAAACAGAATTTGGCAAAGTGATACGGCGCACAACTCCTGAAGCGATGGCTGCCCTAAAGAACTAACTTGTGTAGACAGACTTGGGATGAAGTCTATGCCCACTCTGACCCTGACAAGGCCTATGATGCCTTCCTATTTACCTTTACAAAACTATACGACATGTACTGTCCTTTAGTTAAAATTAATACCAAAAAAAAAGTGCTTTATAGACAATACATCAAGTCCCAAACTAATGCTGTTGAACAGAGATATAAAACATACAAAAATAAGTTCATTACTATAATGAGAAATAAAAAATATTACTACAGCTTATTGGAACAGCATCAACATAATGCTAAAGAAACATGGAATATCTTAAATGGCATCATATAAAATGGTAAGAAAGGCAATGTATTCCCAAACTATTTTGTTAATGAGGATGAAGTAATAACAAGTACTTATGAAATTGCAAATGCATTTAATGATTTTTTTGCAAATACGGGACCCTCATTGGCTAAGAACTTTCCAAAGTGTACTAACGTGCAAGGCTCAAATTCCAGGTTAATCCATCGTAATTGTAATTAATTATTTCTTAAATGTACGGACGAAACTGAAATTATCTCCATTGTCAATAAGTTTAAAAATAAACGTTCTACTGACTGCTTCAATATTGATATGATGCTGTTTAAAGAAATTATTAATTTTATAGTGGTACCATTCACTTACATCTGCAATCAGTCATTCCTCACTGGTAAGATAAGATAGATAAGATAAGATAAGCTTTATTTATCTCACAGAGGAGAAATTTACATGTCACGTTTGGCATGGATAGAACACTCAGATTGTGCAAAAGGAGGAAATGTGCAAACATGTTACATGCAGGATATATATGTACAATAAAAGTGACAATAATTATGTACAACAAAAGTGACAAGTGTCAATTGGAAACAGTGTCAATAGTAGTGCAGGTCTTCACACAGTGATCATTTAAAGTGACTTATTGTGCAGTCTGACAGCAGTGGGGATAAAGGCCCTGCGGTAGCGCTCCTTCCTACACTGAGGGTGCCTCAGTCTTCCACTGAAGGAGCTCCTCAGCTCCTCTACAGTCCTGTGCAGTGGGTGGGAGGTATTGTTCATGATGGAGGTGACTTTGACTAGCACCCTCCTGTCCCTCACCTCCTCCACAGAGTCCAGGGGGCAGCCCAGAGTGGAGCTGGCCCTCCTCACCAGCTTGTTCGGTCTGTTTCTGTCCCGCTCTGTGCTGCCTGGGGCCCAGCACACGGCAGCGTAGTAAATGGCAGAAGCTACCACAGAGTCATAAAAGGTCCTAAGCAGAGGCCTGCTCACTCCGAAGGACCTCAGCCTCCTCAGAAGGAAGAGGAAAAGCATCTGAAAAGCAGCCTCCCCATGTTTAGTTCTGACTCTGGGCACTAACAGGAGTCCAGTCCCTGTGCTCCTCAGAGTCCGGGCTGGTTCATATGGTACTAACATGTCACTAATATATTTTGGTGCGAGGCCATGGAGAGACTTGTACACAAGCAGAGCTGTTTTAAAGTCTATTCTCTGAGCTACAGGAAGCCAGTGCAGAGACCTGAGAACTGGACTAATGTGGTCGTACTTCCTGGTTCTAGTCAGGACTCGAGCTGCTGCATTTTGAATGTACTGCAGCTGTTTTACAGCCTGTTTGGACAGACCTGTGAGCAGGCCATTGCAGTAGTCTAACCTACTGGAGACAAATGCATGGATAAGAATCTCCAGGTCTGCTTTAGACACTAAGTTTTTGATCCTGGCAATGTATTTTAGTTGGTAAAAAGCTGCTGATGTTACTGATTTGATGTGGCTATTAAAATTTAAGTCTGAGTCCAGTATTACCCCTAGATTTCTGACCTTGTTTGAAGGTTTTAGGGAGAGAGACTGTAGATGACAGATGACGCTCTCTCTTTGTTTCTGGGGACCAAAGACAATCATTTCAGTTTTGTCTGCGTTTAGCTGAAGGAAGTTGTTTTGCATCCACTCACTGATCTGTTGGATACAGTGAAGGAGTGAGTCCACTGGTCCATGTTCTCCTGCAGTCAGTGAGACATAGATCTGAGTGTCGTCTGCATAGTTGTGATAGGACACTTCGTTTCTGCGTATTAACTGACCTAACGGCAGCATGTAGAGCTTGAACAGAAGAGGTCCCAGGATCGACCCCTGTGGTACTCCACAGGTCAGGTCCATATGATCTGAGACACAGTTTCCAATCTCCACAAAGTACTTCCTGTCTTCAAGGTAAAACCTAAACCAACTTAGGGCGGTGCCAGCGACGCCAACCCAGTCCTCTAGTCTCTGTAAGAGGATCTCATGGTCGACGGTGTCAAAGGCAGCACTTAGATCTAACAAGATTAAGATTGAGACTTTGCCTGCGTCAGTGTTCAGCCGGATATCGTTTGTAACCTTAACGAGAGCAGTCTCAGTGCTGTGGTGGGGTCTAAAGCCGGACTGAAACATATCAAATGAGTTGTTGATTATAAGAAATCTAGTAAGCTGTAGGTAGACAACTTTTTCAAGGACTTTCCCCATAAATGGCAGATTTGAGATGGGACGATAGTTGTTAAGTACAGTGGCATCCAGACGGCTCTTTTTTAGCAGGGGCCTGATGACTGCAGTTTTCAGGGCCTTTGGGAATATTCCAGAATGAAGGGACATGTTTACTATCTGTGTGAGTGAAGGTAACAGACTGCTCAGAACAGACTTCAGAAATCTAGTGGGTAGTACATCCAGGCTGCATGTGGAGGAGCTCAAACTGGAGATTATCTCTTGGACATTTTTATCATTTACAGGTGCAAAGTGAGTTAGCTCGAGAGAGCCTTTCTGGCTGTTGGATTGTTATCTGTGGATTGGAGACAATGGAGTTTTTGATGCCTTGAACCTTGTAATTGAAAAAGTGTGCAAACTCATTGCATTTACGTTTGGAGGTTAGCTCTAATGGCATCTGAACAGGGGGGTTTGTTAATCTATTAACTGTTGAAAACAGAACACGCAGATTGTTGCTGCAGCCTTCAATCATTTCAGAAAAATACCTTTCTCTCGTACTACGTAGCACCCGGTTAAACTCACACAACTTATCCTTGAATATCTTGTAATCAACCTGGAGGTTGGACTTGCGCCACTTCCGCTCGGCCCTCCGGCACTTTCTCTTCAGTGCTCTGACCGAGTCTCTGACCGGGTTGCTGAGTGCTATCCACTCAGCGACCGTGCCGCCGTTTGGGTTTCGTTCAAATATGTCCACCTTGATGGCGGTCATGGTTCTTGTGGAGGAGATGGCAACAGCAATCGACAACAAAGAATTAAGTGTCTTCATAGGCCTTTGACACCATCGACCATCCGCTTCTTTTAAATAAGCTACAAAGGTTTTGGTGTCAGGGGACCTGCTTATAAATGGCTGGAGAGCTACTTCAGCAATAGAGAACAGTTTGTGCGCATTAATAATGTTGATTCTAAAATAAATAATATTTCCCATGGTGTTCCACAAGGATCCATATTGGGGCCTAAATTATTCATCATTTATATAAGTGATATATGTGATATTTTGCTAAATGTCAATTGTATATTATATGCAGATGACACAAGCCTTTATTGCTCATGAAATTACATCACAAAACTTATTAATATCAGGGAAAAAGAGCTAACTATTTTAAAGGAGTGGTTTGATAACAATAGACTTTCAATGAATCTTAAAAAAACTAAATATCTTATTTTTGGGAACAGGAAAATCAAAGTTTCAACTAATATTCAAATGAATAATGTAGCAATTGA